GCCAAGCGGCCTTTCGTAGTGGTGGAGTGTTGTAACACCCCAGATGTAATTTACCTCATATGTATCCCAACTCTTGCCGTATCCTGCACTAAGTTATTTTATTTCCTCGTTGTCGGGTTTTTGTCTTCGTGTGTTGTTGTCTTTGTCATCCATCTCATATCATGTAATCATGTGCATTGCATTTGCATACGTGTTCGTCTCATGCATCCGAGCATTTTCCCCGTTGTCCATTTTGCATTCCGGCGCTCCTATGTCCTCCGGTGGGCCTTTCTACCTCTTTTCGTGTGCGGGTGTTAAAAGTTTTCAGATTGGACCGAGACTTGTCATGCGGCCTTGGTTTACTACTGATAGACCGCCCGTCAAGTTTCGTGCCATTTGGACTTCGTTTGATACTCCAACGGTTAACCGAGGGACCGAAAAGGCCTCGTGTGTGTTGCAGCCCAACACCCTTCCAAACTGGCCCAAAAACCACCTAAACCCCTTCCATCATCTAGAGCGTTCGATCATGATCGCGTGGCCGCAAACCGCACCTCATTTGAAGCTTGCTACCTCCTCCTACCTCTATAAATAGACCCCTCCATTTCATTTCCAGATCCCTACACCCCCAACCCTAAAAATCAGCTCCACCTCGCCGCCGGACGTGTCCGATTTGGACCGGACGCGTCCACCCACTCCGCCGGACCAACCAGGTCACGCCAGATGGCGCCTCACCGCCCTCATGCCGCCGGCCCGGGCAAGCCCATCGCCGGCCCCCGAGGCCCGCGCGCCCACCGCTGCCACCTACCCTGCCGCGCCACCTCCCCGCCTCCTCGCGCCTCGCCGCCGGCCTGCCGCACCTCCGCCGCACCGCCGCACTTCCCCATCGCCGGCCGCCGCACTTCCTCATCGCCGGCGACCGCCGCCGCAGCTCCGACCGCCGCACCGCCGCACAAGCGCCGCCCGAGGCCGCCGCCCTCCGCCGCGCCTCCTCCCCGGCGACCTCTCCTCCGTCCGGCTGCCTCCACCGTCGTATTCTTCGTCGTCTCCAGCCGGCCATCTTCGAAAATCGCGCCCTGCTACAGTAACTCTGGCCGGATCTGGATCTGGAACATTTCGGTTGACCTTTTCCTCCCGAAACCCTAGCCTTTTAGCATTTTTCCGCATGCCATAACTCTGCATCTGTAGCTCCAATTCATGCGTGTAGCATATCAAAATGTTCGTCTCGACGAGTATATCATTTCATCTCATTGCATTATTTTCATTTGAACTCATCATGGTGCCCGAAATGTTGTTGGAAGAGGGCTATGTGATGAATATGTCAAATCTGTTTCAGCAAATGGCCTTCCGTCATTTTTGCCATGATTAATGTGTGCATGCTATGATCCTGAGCTCTACATGTATTTTGTAGAATGCCATGTTATCTTTACAGAGGTGCTTGTCTTGTATTTTTGTGATCTATGTGATGACTAGCACCAGCATGCAAAGTAGCTTACCCAATGATGCTGATTCCAGGGACTTAGAATTTCACTAAGTCCTTGTTCTGTTTTTGTTTTTATGTCATATGTTCATGTTGTTTCCTAGTGATCCGTGCCTCTTTTTAGGATGATCAGTAAAGATGTGTTAATATTGTTGTGCTCTATCCACCCATGTCTTTGTTTGCATTTATGGAGCACCCTAGCTTGAGTCAATCGAGCTCTATTTTTGCTATAAAATGATCCTGGCAGATTGTTGACATGTTTAGCGATTTTGTCAAGGATGTTGCTATTGATCCGTGCATGCTATGTTGTTGTTCTTGCCATGTCTAGCTTCTATGCCATGTCTTCTTGATGGGTGTATGCTTAGTTTGCCATGTCATGCTCTGTAGTGAGTGCATCGAGCTCGTAAACATGCCTACTCGTTAACTGTTTTGCATGCTCCAGTTTTTCACTAAGTCTGAATCTGTTTACGTTTTTGCTATGTTCACATACTTGCAATTGTATTTTATGATCCCTTTTGTCTCAATGTCACTAAGGGACTTTTGTTAAGTGCTTTGAGTAGCTTCATGCCATGCCTTGCTTTGCCATGTTAAGTTCCTGTAGCATGTAGTTTTCATGCTCTAAAGTTTGCTTCCTGATGATAGATTCTAGAATTGTGTTAATTTCACAAAGTCTGAAACCTGTCATCATTTGCACTTTTGCCATGCTTGTTTGAACCTGTTAATGGATGAATTAGCCGTAGCTCAGTGTTCATCTTTTGTCAAGCTTCATGAGTGGATCCCTGCCATGTATTTTGTTGTCATGTTTGAGTGTTGTACTATAGTTATCTTGATGCATTTAGATGGCTACTTGCTGATTATCACAGACCGGTGCCATATTTGTTTTGTTTGCCATTTCCAAACTGTGCATCCGATTCCGATGATCTTTATATCGATTTCGACCGAAATCACCTCACCTTTCCAGTGGCACTCTTGGATTTCCAAGTTGAGGCCATGTTCATTTATTCTTTTCCAAATCTTGCATATGCATCGCATATCGCATCCCGCATGCCATACCATGTTTGCATCATGTTGTTTGAGCATTGCACGTGGTTGATTGTGCTCCTTTTTGCTTGTTGTTCTTGTTTGGGTAGAGCCGGGAGAAGATTTCGTGAACGAGGAGCCCGTTGAGTTCGCTTACGAGGATCAACGCAACTCTGATAACTTTGCAGGCAAGATGACCATACCCTCGAGATCACTTCTATCTTTGCTTGCTAGATGCTCGCTCTTTTGCTATGCCTATGCTACGATACCTATCACTTGCTTATCATGCCTCCCAATTGCCATGTCAAGCCTCTAACCCACCATGTCCTAGCAAACCATTATTTGGCTATGTTACCGCTTTGCTCAGCCCCTCTTATAGCGTTGCTAGTTGTAGGTGAAGATTGGAGATCGTTCCTTGTTGGAACATGTTTATTGTTGGGATATCACCATATTATCTTGTTTATATTAATGCACCTATATACTTGGTAAAGGGTGGAAGGCTCGGCCTTATTCCTGGTGTTTTGTTCCACTCTTGCCGCCCTAGTTTCCGTCATATCGGTGTTATGTTCCCGAAATTTGCGTTCCTTACATGGTTGGGTTATAATAGGAACCCCTTGACAGTCCGCCTTGAATAAAACTCTTTCAGCAATGCCCAACATTGGTTTTACCATTCGCCACCTAGCCTTTTTCCCTTGGGTTTCACAGACTCAAGGGTCATCTTTATTTTACCCCCCCCTCCCCCGGGGCCAGTGCTTCTCTAAGTGTTGGTCCAACTGAGCGATGTCCGGGGCTACCAAGGGAAACTTTGGGCTGGCCTACCCGACGTCTTGCTCATCCGGTGTGCCCTGAGAACGAGATATGTGCAGCTCCTATCGGGATTTGTCGGCACATCTGAGTGGTGTTGCTGGTTTAGTTTTAGCGTTGTCGAGGATGTCTTGTAACCGGGATGCCAAGTCTAATCGGATTGTCTTGGGAGAAGGAATATTCTTCGTTGACCGTGAGAGTTTGTGATGGGCTAAGTTGGGACTCCCTTGCAGGGATTTGAACTTTCGAAAGCCGTGCCCGCGGTTATGGGCAGATGGGAATTTGTTAATGTCTGGTTATAGATAACATGAAACTTAACTTAATTAAAATGCACCAACCGCGTGTGTAACCGTGATGGTCTCTTCTCGGCGGAGTCCGGGAAGTGAACACGATGTTGGAGTAATGCTTGACGTAGGTTGTTCTAGGATCACTTCTTGATCATAGTTGTTCGACCGTGCTTTTGCCTCCTCTTCTCGCTCTCTTTTGCAAATATGTTAGCCACCATATATGCTAGTCGCTTGCTGCAGCTCCACATCATACCTTACCTTACCTATAAGCTTAAATAGTCTTGATCGCGAGGGTGTGAGATTGCTGAGTCCCGGTGACTCACAGATTCCTTTCAAAACCAGATGCAGGGACCGATGATACCGTTCCAGATGATGCGCCTGAGCTCAAGTGGGAGTTCGATGAAGACTCTCGTCGTTACTATGTGTCTTTCCCAGATGATCAGTAGTGGTGCCCAGTTGGGGCGATCGGGGTCTTTGTCGCATTTGGGGGTTGATATTTATTTTGGTACCGTAGTCGGACCATGAATGTATTGGATGAATGTAATGACTTATTTATGCATTTGTGTGACGTGACGAGTGTAAGTCAACTATGTACATTTCCCCTTTATTTATATACATTGGTTGATTGCGAAGATTACCTCACTTGCGACATTGCTTTCAATGCGGTTATGCCTCTAAGTCGTGCTTCGACACGTGGGAGATATAGCCGCATCGAGGACGTTACAGGCATGAACTAGGGAGGCCTTGGCCGTGGATTATGGCCGTCCTTTTTGAAGGCTTCCAAGTGTGCCGGTCGCTAGCTTTGTTGCCAGCAAGAGAACTTGAGGGTTGTTCATTTTGAAGGCTGGCTTGTGTGTCGGCTCCTGGCTTTGTTGCTAGCGTGAAAACTTGAGGGTTGCTCATTTTGTAGGCTGGCATATGTTTATCGGCTGTTGGCTTTCGTTGCTGGCATGAATTATAGCTGCTAGGCATGAACTACTGGTCATGGTGACAAATTTTCATTTGTAAAAAATTTTAGGCGACCGGACGAGATGTGTCTGCGCGTTGAGCCCATGGCCGGCGTATCTAGAAAAATGGTCGGACGTAGTCCCATTGTCCTATTTAAATGGACAAAATTGGGATAAAACAGACGTCCGTTTGGGGCGTTGGAGTTGGTCTTATATTGTGGGCTGGAATCCTCCGCGCATGGCAGTAAAAATTATGCTAGGCTCAGTGTACCCGGCCCAAAAGCATTTCCCTTCATCCGTCGGCCTTTTGAGAGTCCACCCGACCAGCCGCCGCGCGGCGCGCAGCAGGAGCCCCTCGACGGCGGCCGCCGGTGCTAGGGTTCTTCACCTCCACCTTCATACCTAAGCACACCTTAGCCTTCTCGCTAATCTCGTTCCGTCCTCCGGATACCCACCTTCTCTGCCGAGGCAGCGGAATCTCCCCCGATGGAGGCGGCCGCCGTCGCTTCCTCCGGCTGCGGGCTGCGCTGCTCGCTTTACCCCGTCCCGAACCAGCATAGGAGAGGCGCTCGCCTGGGCTTAGCGGCCAAGAGGCAGCAGCGCTGCGCCGTCGCTTGCGGGCGGTTGCTGCTCCGTCCGAACGCTCGCGTATACACGGCGGCATCGGCGTCGGCGTCGGCGGTGATAGATAGCGGCGCCGGGGACTCCGGGGTGAGGAGGAAGAGGCTCGCGGTGTTCGTGTCCGGTGGGGGCTCCAACTTCCGGTCGATCCACGAGGCCGCCCTGGGTGGGAAGGTGAACGGGGATGTGGTTGCGCTCGTCACCGATAAGCCAGGTGACCATGATTGCTTGCTTCCTGCAGCTCTTTCTTGGACTGTGAGGTGGATTGGTGGTTCTGATGTGGCGGAATGTCGCAGGCTGCGGTGGCGCCGAGTACGCAATGTGCAATGGCATTCCCGTGGTCGTGTTTACGAAGTCGAAATCGGCACCGGAGGGGGTCTCCACAGATGAACTTCTGAATGTTCTGAGGTTGGTTCTGTTTGATCTCATCTCAGGGCTGTGATTTTTCAACTTCGTACTGCAGTTCATTATACTTCTCATTCTGCAAGAAAAAGACTGCCATTTGGCTTCTTCATGCTTCACTCCTAGTCAGATTGGCTCGGTACAACTCCTTTGTGAAATGCATACATTTGTAACTTCTGACCGAGGACGGCTTTCTGTACCTCGCATGTCTATCGTGTTCTGAGGCTGCCAGTGATCATATGTTGATAAATCACATAGAAACTTACAGATGCGATATGTTACTGTCTTCTAGACTCTAGTTGCATGAACTTGTGTTCACAAATTTTGCTTCAGTGTGATGGCTCTGACCGAAATCCACTGCATACAAGTTTTTATATATTTGTGCCTCCAAGTGTACCCATGTGCCTCAGTTTTCCCTTTCAAGTGTTTCAGATTGTATTTCATGACACACACAGGATGTCTTAGCCCATGGCTATCTCCATTGTGAAACAGGGATCTGAAGGTAGACTTCATTCTACTTGCTGGTTACTTGAAGCTCATACCTGGTGAGCTAGTTAAGGCATTTCCCAGATCCATGCTGAATATACATCCTTCACTGCTCCCGGCATTTGGAGGCAAGGGTTATTATGGTTTAAAAGTGCATAAAGCAGTCATTGCATCTGGAGCCAGGTACTTTACATTTTGTCTAGCACCTTTCAACATCTTGCATTTTCCTCCAATAAGTACTTGGCATCGGCTCGAAAGAAAAATTTGTGCAAGCATTATTGCTCATTGTCTTGTGATAACTGATAAAGTCGATTTGTGGGATGATGGCATTGGTTGCTGAACTACTGATTTCTTGTTTTCCATATGGTATTACCTGTTTCTCTTTTGGAAAAAGTCACCCTGTTTTATTTGATGACGTTTTCCAACCATGCAGATACTCAGGACCAACTGTGCACTTTGTGGATGAGCAGTTTGACACAGGGAAGACCTTAGCCCAAAGAGTTGTGCCTGTGTTAGCCAATGATACTCCAGAGCAATTGGCTGCAAGGGTTCTTCACGAGGTAGCATCTTATGTGCGTTTGAGATTTCTTAGCGGTACAATTGACTTTAGATATTCTTCTTGCTGATTTATTAACCCAACGTTACAGGAGCACCAAGTTTACGTTGAGGCAGTTGCTGCCTTGTGTGAGGATCGAATTGTTTGGCGAGACGATGGTGTCCCACTTATCAGAAGTCAGACAAACCCCAATGCGTATACCTAATTCGTGATCTCTGTCCTGAGATCTCCTGAAAACTAATGAAGTTTATAGTGTCCCCACCAAGTGCCAGTTTTCGCCACGACACGTAGTTAACACACACCGTTTGTCTGATTGAGTGAAATAACATGTCTAATAATCTGGTCCCAGAAACATAATGTGTACCTTGCACTGTGTTTAACTCATTGTATGGCTTGGCTTTGATGATAATCTGTGCCTGAAATAACATTTCTGATAATCTGGTCCCAGAAGCGTAATGTCTACCTTGCACTGTGTTCAACTCATTGTATGGCTTGGCTTTGATGATAATGTGTTCCGGTGTGCCTGAACAAAGTTTCAGTGAATAGTCCAGTTATCCACATACCCTATGTCTAAAGATGTCACCATTCAGTTCCAGTGCTGTTTTCCTTTGTGGCGTCGATTTGTTTCTAGCTACACTCCTTAGTTTCAGTGAATAGTCTGGTTATCCACATACCCTATAGTCATAAATATTGCAATCTCCTTAATTTCCCAACCGTAATTTGTTTACCATGCTACTTGTTGAGAGATGTCACTAGTGAACCTATAGCCTCCGGATCTATTCTCCATTGCTTAATTCTTCTACAAAAATTGTTCCTTTTATTTGCCGTTCCACTTTATCATTATCCATCTCTATCACTTGAGTTTTACCTTGTAATAGCAAGACAATGGCTTGACAACTCTTTTGCCGTGTTGGGGACAAGTTTTGTTTATGTTTTCTGTGTAGGTGTTGTTGACGTGTGTACTTTAGAATATCCTACTGGTTCGATAAACTTTGGTTCTTAACCAAGGAAAAACTTGCTACTTGCTGCTTCACCCTTCCTCTTGGGGGAATCCCAACGACTCATGTGGGAGTAGCAGCCACCTCCTTCTCAGATTGCTGGATACTGAGCTAGAGGGCCTTGGCATTCTTTCGACGGAGCCGACTGGCATTTGTCTCTGTAGTTGTCAGTGACCGGCGGTAGAAAGCCGCGAGGAGCTTCTCCTCATTGGGCAAAACCGGCAGTTCGCTTCGGCGGCAGGAGGAATGTATGGCCGCCTTCGATGCTGCCGCCCTCTCCCAAGCCCGCGGCGAGCGGCGCGCGCCTCTGATTCCGACATTCGTGTATGCGGTGTCGGTGCGGCAACGAGCACCCACCAATGCCCGTGAGGAGCACCGCCAGAGGGGGGAGGGCGGCAGGCCAACTGCGCGGAGCTGTGTGAGGTGCGGGACAAGCCTCGTCGGTGTTTGTGCTGTGACAACGGGCGATAGTTTGCGGAGTAGAGTCTGAGCTACTGACCGTGTCGACCCGCGAGTGTTGTAGCGTGATGCTGAGAGCCAGCTCATCCTCGTGGACAAAGGTGTCCTAGTCGTCCACGTGGTCGGACCTATCACCTCCGCCGCTATCATTGCTTGACATGACTATGTAGAGGGGGAGGGAAACAAACAGGTAGTGGAGGGGAGGCAACGGAGAGCGAAGCGCGAGTGAAGTGGAGCTAGGGTTAGCTTCGAGTGAGGATTTTACTAGGGACGGAGTGGGGTGGTGCAGGCCATGGTGGCCGGGCTGACGTGGCGGAGGCGTCCAGGCCTCCCATATCCACCCTAGATTTGGGATGGATGTGAGGGCGCCGAACAGCCTGGACGTATAGGACTAGTTTGAGGCGCCCGGCCGGGTTGAATTTTTTTTGACCGCTCGATGATTGCGTCGTTCGTCTAGTCGTATACAAGGGTTTGGGGAGCCCGGCTGTCGATGCACTAAGGGTGCCCACCAACTGTCACATCCAAATCCAATCAACATGCATAAAAAACAAGCATTGTTTGGCGCCAAAGCACTAATATATACTCCTTCTGTTCCTAAATATTTGTCTTTCTAGAGATTTCAAATGGTCATCACATACGGATGTATATAGACATATTTTAGAGTGTAGATTCATTCATTTTGCTCTGTATGTAGTCACCATTTGAAACCTATAAAAAGACAAATATTTAGGAACGGAGGGAGTATTTTTGAGCCTAGGCTCATCTGCTCTGGGTGCACAGTAAAACAAAGAAAAAAATACTAAAATGATTTTAAAATTCTGATTTTTTTTGTCAACCAAGATACTCAAATGCATGATGCCCAGGCAAAACTTCGTCATGTGCAGACATATGAGGAGCTCATGGGAAAAAAATCGGTCCAAATAGTGCATGAACAATAAACTTTCTCACATACCCCAATTTTGTTTTTGTTTTGCAGATGTCCAAATACCACCAAATTGGCACTTGAACATCTTCCATGCAAAAAAAAGATTTTTTTGAATTTTTCTAGTTTTTTTTTTTGAATTTACTGTTCAAGCAAGGGAGCAGATGAGCTCTGGAGCCGAATCGCCCTGTCCGCCGAACCATCCTTAACGTTCACATGAAAAAATGTACAAAATCATCTGAATCAAGGAAATATCGCTACCAAATTGTTTCCAGAAAGATTTACAACTGAATAGGAACTAGGTTTCCTCCTCAGCAAAATCATCCGAAGACGTCCTTTGACTTGACATGTATTACAAGGAACCATGCAGTAGAGTTGTTCTTCAGGCCAAAACAGATCATCATCGAGGATACCTCTCCGACAACAGGATTTGCTCTTCCACGGTGTACTCCCCACTTGGCTGCTCGGTGTCCCCTTCACTTGCCGTGTCGTCGGTAGAGAGTTGGCCATCATCATCATAGCTCCTAGATTTCGCATCACGCGCAGCTTGCTTCCTCTTGATCCGCAGGTTTTCGAGCGTCATCTCCACCTCTCTCATCGCCGGCCGGTCCTCTCCATTCAACCTCACGCACTTTGCCGCGAGCGCAGCTACCTCCTGGACCTCCCCGTCTTCCTCTTCCATGACCTGAGGATCCAGCAAGTCAGCCAGCACGCCTCCCGTAACCAGTGAGGCAAAATGCAGAACAAGACCATCGCCATCCACAGAATGATAGGCGAGTGGTCTCTTCCTGGTAAGCAGTTCCACGAGAAGGACGCCAAAGCTGAAGACATCGCTCTTGTCTGTTAGACGGCCAGTGTAATAGTACATGGGATCCAAGTAGCCAATTGTTCCTTGAACCGCAGTAGTCACCCCCGTTTGATCAATAGGAACAAACTTTGAAGCCCCAAAGTCCGATACCTTGGCTGTTAAGCTTTCGTCAAGAAGTATGTTGGCAGACTTAATATCTCTATGATACACTGGCATTGAAGCAGCTGAATGTAGATAGGCCAGAGCTGTAGAGATCTCAAGTGCAATCCTCAGTCGGTCGTCCCACGATAGTGATACCGGTCCTTCTACATGCAGATGATGCTCAAGAGTTCCATTTGAAATGAACTCGTAAACCAACAACGGGACTTCTGCCTCGAGACAACATCCAATTAACTTCACGACATTTCGATGGTTGATTTGGGAAAGAATTGCAACCTCATTAATAAAGTCATTGATTTCTCTCTGTACAATAATCTTTGATTTCTTGATGGCTACAACTTGTAGATCCAGAATGCCTTTATACACAATGCCATGTCCTCCACCGCCAACCTCACGAGTTTTGTCAAAATTGTTTGTGGCCTTCTCTAGCTCTGCTAGGGTGATGATCATCCGTTCACCCATATCCGCTCTTTGCGATACTAACTGCTGAAATAGCAACCCATGATTTTGCTTGAAAAACTTGTCTTTTCTTTTTTGGGCCTTCTGTTGCTTGATCTTACGTGTCACAAAGGGAGCACCAAAAGCCAGAAGCACAAGAATTGACCCACCACTGGCTACTAGGCCTATGCTTAAACCTGCATTATTTTGAGAAATAGAATCACATATTGCATCCGTACCCCATATCTCACTAAAAGGAAACAGTTTGCAGTAAATTTATGTTTTTACCAATTCCTGCGTCACAAGATTTAGCACCAAAGAATAATTTCTACCGCCAACTAAAGGTTTGCGGTATGCAATTAGATTTAGTAAATAGATTTAAGCGGAGTACCATTGTTCTACGCAAATTACCTACTTTTGCTATCTTTATATGTTTGGGACCATAGAGCTTTAGCAATTTTATTTGGCTAGCTAACTAAGCTCTTGTCACTATGATGCTATATTATCTTTATTAAAGCACATAAGCGATTGCTAACCAAGCTAGTTTTCTTTACAGAAAAGCAACTTATCAAACTCTACTGAAAATTTCTGCCTAAAAGTGCTCTACTGAAGCTAAGTTATCATAAAACTTCCCTCCCTGCAGAGGACTATAATTTCTCTTAAAATAATCACTAGTGAATAGAGGCTGCAATGACAAAATGATTACTGGAAACTATCTATTTGAACTCACACAGATGATTAAGAATGAGATTTTTTGGAACAAGGGAGTACTCCTTCCGTAAACTAATATAAGAGCGTTTAGATCACTAAAGTAGTGATCCAAACGCTCTTATATTAGTTTACAGAGGGAGTACTTTTTATGCATGCAAGTAACAGAAATAATAATAACGGAACGTATTCAGCAAGTAATATAACGGGTTATGTAAGCATTCTCATGTATAAACCAGTTCTTTGAAATTCCAGCTTTCCAATCTCATTAACAAGTTGTAGACAAGTAAAAATGTGAAGCTTTCGGGTTACTGAATCTCATCAGACAAATGAAGGGTTACTACCTAATTTAACTCACATATGGAGCTGCAATCAGATGAATACATAATTACTGATGTGTAGTGATTGTTACCTTGAGAAGATTTCTTGTTCTTGATGCACCCCCCTTTTATGAAGGGGTTCCCGTTAGTCTCATCAGGGCATTGGCAGCGAAACGTTCCAGGCATATTTATGCAGGTTCCGTAGCATGAGTGGAGTTCCCAGTGCGCACACTCATCAATGTCTAATCAAACAACAACGGAGCACCGTAAACAAAACTGATAGACTACAAATTATACCTAATTATAGGCACTAAGCTGTCCTCAGATCAGCCTAATTTGCATTAAAACTTTGTAAGCCAAGGAAATAAAATCAGGTTAAATCAACTTGTATACCTTGGCATCCATCCACAACATAAGGGTTGCCTTCGTAGCCAGCAGAGCAGCGACAGCGGTACCCTTTGTAAGCAAAGCTTGTGTAGTTCTGACAGGAGCTGCTGGTGCTGTGGCACCCAGAAGCAGGCAGTTCCTTACCACATGTTGAGTTGCTGATCACCCAGTCCAGCAAGACTGGAAGAGTCTTTACAGTTTCGAATATCAGGTGTGTGACATTATAGGAACCTTCCTCGGCTATGTAGACTGAAGAGTCTGCATCGAATTCAGAAACATTGCCAGGGGGCTGGACCTGGATGCTGTAAGAGGTGTAGCCTTTGGGGATGGCAGCACTGCAGCAGCCAATGCCGGAGCAATCCTTGCTCAAGGGGAACTGAAAAGGCTGGCCCTTTCCTGGGGCCGGTGGGCAGTAAGTGGCACAGGCGTTGACGGTGCTGTTGTCCTCCGCGAGGAGGAGGACCTGGACGTTGCTGCAAGACAGCACCAGGAACTTGTTCTTCTCCGGCGAGACGAAGAACGGGCCGCCCCTTCTGAGCCCACTCCACGTGTGGTACCTTGCCGTGCTGTTGGCCTTCTTGCCTGGTGCCCCTGCTGCTGGTGACAGCGCGATGCTACTGCTGTTGACGCGCACCGTGCCACCAGGAATGGAGATCTCGAGCACCTCCACGGTGCCGTCGCCGAGGAACAGCTTGGGCGGCCGGTACGAGTGGTCGCAGGTGAGGTTGAAGCCGTCGCGGTAGCAGCCGGCCTCGATCCCAAAGGGGTAGGAGATACCGATGCCGCCACAGCGGGTGCTGCAGGTAGCTGCTGCTGCTGCGTCCAACGGCTGCAGCAGCAGCAGCAGCAACGCTGCAACTACAGCCACGGTGTGCACTAACTTCTCCATAGATGCAGCTGCGGCTATCTCAATCTCCACAAAAAGGTGGTGATGTTCGTGGACTGTTCTTCTCGTCCCCATCCTCCAAGCCAATCAAGCACCACTTAACCAATATACCCTCTGGTACTCTGTCTGCAGTCTACACCCACCGCATGCGCAGTCCGAGGAATTCAAGGCGCGTGCACGATGACTTGATTCGTTTGGGCTACCAACTAGCTAGGCGGCTAGTGCTTTCTTTGAAAAATGGTCAGCGTTGGACATATTCCCATGGAGCATCTACTTACTAGCAAACAGCCTAACACCCAGGTTGAGTGATTATAATAGCACGTTGCACATGACTTGCACTCAAAGATGGCCCCATGATTACGACACTACTGATGGGAAAGGCTAAATTAGGTGACTAGCTGTTGCAGGATTTGCCCTCGCTCCGTGGTCGTAGAACATTTTACTACTTATTGCACTGATTTGGCTAGCATTTGGGCTTGGATGGTGGGTAGGTTTGGTCTTGTGGCCAAGTGGACCACGAGCAGGAGCTGTGACTTTTTGTTCTTTGCTTGGAAGATGCCATGGAGCTTCCCTGTTCACATGTGTCTCAGCTCCAATCAAAATAAAATAAAATTAAAAATAAATCTCTAGAAGCGTGAATGCAAATCGAAGAAAGTGGGCAGGCAAGCAAGCAAGTAGATTAAACGGAACCTTCGTCGATGGGATGTAGACGACGTCGGTGCCGCCGGCCTGCCCTCTCCGCCGACCGGCTCGCCCGGCAGAGCTAAGCGCCGCCGCGTCCGCACCAGCCAGGAAGCGGCCGCAGTATGCCTTCCTGCGCCGGGCCGCGGAGCCCGCCACGAGGCCATGGGAGCCATAGTTCTGGCCAGCATCGCCGCACGCCGCACGCCGCTCCTCCTCCCGGTAGGTCTCTCCGCCGAGCGCCGATTTGGGGCCGGCGCCGCTCGAGATGGCTCGTTCGACCGTGATTTACTCACGTGCAGCGCACGTGCGTGTGTGCGCACGACGATGCTACGCTGATGACGGCGATCCACGATAGCGGAGTAAAATGCAAGCACGGTCCTAATTCTTTTTCAAAAGTGTTAATTGGGTCCTAATTCTTTCAAAATGCACATCTGGATCTTATTCTTTCTAAGTTGTTCACCCGAGGTCCTAATTTCGTCTGACCACCGCTGACCAGCTCGCGTGGTGCTTTGACCGCCGCCACGTCGACTCGAGGGCCCACGCGGGATAACGACTAGCCGTGCGTTTTTTCAAAAGAGCCCCCCAACCCTAATCTCTCTGCAGCCGTAGTCCTTTTCCTCTCCTCTTCCCCACCTCTCTCTGCTCTGGCGAAACAGGGGAGATCGACGGTGGTGGTCCGGTGAGAAGAGGCAGGCGGCCATCGCACGCACTTGTCCGACGGCGGCGCCGCTAGGATGGCGCATGTGCATCGGGGACCTGGAGATCCTCCTCCACGATACGGTCAGTGTGGTGCCCGTAACCCTAACCCTCGATCCTCTTTTTCTGCGGATACCTATTTAGCTCGAATCGATGGTAGTATTTGACCGAATCCCTCGATACCTAGGACCACAAGAGGAGGTTTTTACCGTAGAAATCAACTATGCTGGATTTTTCTACGGATTTGGTCGATCGAAGACGTATGTCGATGAGAAAGTTGCTCTGTTCGATGGTTGCGAAGTAGATACATGGTCTCCTCTCTGGCTCACTGATTTTATGCAGCATCTGGGATATAGTGACCAATCTAAGCATGTTATTTACTGGTTACTGCCTGGAAAGAATTTAGGCGATGGACTGCGGATTGTGGACTGTGACACTGACACTTTGCATATGACAGCAGTTGTTCCAAAATTCCAGTACTTTCAGTTGTTTGTTGATCACAAAGACATGGCCTTTGACAATGTAATTGATGATATTCATGTTAGTGGTACACCTGAGCTACCTCCTATACTAAGCCCTAAATCTCCTGGGTTTAGCAGTGGAATAAGAGGAAGTCCCAGGTTTAAGGTGAAAGCTCATAAAGGCAGACTGAACCAATTTAATGCAGGCAGCAGCAATGAAGGGAGTACCAGTGTTCCGGCAGTGGGACAAAATGTTGGACATGAGCTTAGAAGAAGCAGGAGGAAAATTGTGGTAGAAGAAGAAATCCCCAATGAAAATGACAGTGACAGTGATGACAGTGAATGGGATTCAGACTGGGTTGACTCTGACAATGAAGTAGACAAAGATGATGATGATCTGTATGAAGAATGGGTTGATGAAAAATTTGAGAAGAAGAAAAAGAAGAAATCTGAATGGGAGCAGGACAGTGATTATGATACAGATGAACTGCAGGAGCTACAAGATTCAGAGCTTGTAATGCTGAATCCATCTATCTATCTTTCATACTCCTTTTAAGTTCAATTACTAGTAAAAGAAAGGCCTTGTATATTACTGTTTATTTGTGCTGTCAATGCTAGTAAAAAAATTACTGCCAAAGTACAGAAAAACAACCAAAATGCTGCCAAATTTTAGTTCAATTTCATTGCAACAGTACATGATCAACATCTGGATACACCAACAAGCATTGAACACTGGATACATCATACTACCACATCACTTCTTAAATCCTACATACACCACTACTACAATCAGTACAACAAGTGCACTGAGAATACTCCTACAGAGAAAAATGAGCTCATTCATCTTCTGCATTGCTTCTGCATACACCACAGTCTCAACAGTGCTCTGCTTCTTCACTTGCACCTCTGTTTCTTCACTTGCAATGACACCAGCCGAATCAAAACTGCTCAATCCAGGGCTGACGTATCCACTTCTCACCAAAAAATCAAAATAGTTGTCTGGTCCATCTTCCCAATAATAATGTTGGCAAGGATTTGATGGAATCTGACAGAAATTGAGTAAAAAAAATCAGCCAAAAAGAAACACAGAAAAATCAAATCGATTGGGCACTTGTAGAAGATCTTACATGGTGGTTGGGGCACTTGTAGAAAATCCTGCCAGGATTTGCCTCTGATTTTGATACAAGACGAATTGTAGATCGAATGCGGCAGCTAGGGCATGGTACCAACGGCAGCATACCCGCTTGGGCCGGCGATGAGATGGGCGGCGAGAAAAGGGCTAATGCCGGAGGTGGAGGAGGCGCTTGGGCAGCCTTCTTCCCGCGGTGCTTCACGGCAGACGAGCTAGCGGCGGCAGACATGGCGGCGACGGCGCGGCGCCAGAGAGAGGGAGAGAGCGAGCAGAAGACCTAGGGACTGGGGAATGATGAAAGCATAAACTCCAGGGGCCAAACTGCTTAAATTCCCAACCTCCAACCGCGGGAAATCTCCCGCGTGGGCCCTCGAGTCGACGTGGCGGCGGTCAAAGCGCCACGCGAGCTGGTCAGCGGCGGTCAGACGAAATTAGGACCTCGGGTGAACAACTTAGAAAGAATTAGGATCCAGATGTGCATTTTGAAAGAATTAGGACCCAATCGACACTTTTGGAAAAGAATTAGGACCGCGCTTGCATTTTACCCACGATAGCGCCATCCCGCAGCGAAAACGAACGCAAACTCTACGCTTTCATTGGCACAAACTGGATAGTGAGACCCGATTTAACTGACATAAACAAAAACACAGGTCTAATGGAATTCATGCACGCAAAACTGTCGGTACAGAAAAACTATCAAATTCGTGACTTCAGCACAATAATGCAGGAATATTTGCACATTTTTCTCTCGAGCATGCCTCGAAGCGTGTCAATATGAAGAACATCTGCTCATTGTCATACAAACAGAGCCTTCTCCTTTGTTCAGGCCCAAAAGATATCATCTGGGGTACCTTGCTGACAGCATGATTTCCTCTTCCATAGTGTATTGTCTGCTCGATTCCTCAGCACCCCCTTCAACGGGCATATCCTTCTTGGCGAGTAAATCTTCAATTGAATTATACTGCACAACAATCTGATCGCCGTCGTATCTCATTGCTGCTGAATTACATGGAGCAGGCTTCTTCCTGGCTCGCAAATTTTCAAGGGCCATCTCCACTTCCTTCATTGTTGGTCGGCTCTCTCCTTCCAATCTCGTGCACATCGCCGCTAGCATGGCTACTTCTTGGAGCTCTCCATCGTCTTCTTCTTCCATGACTTGCGGGTCTACTATGTCAGCAAGGTCGCCTTTTTTGAGTGATGAGACAAAATGTGCTACAAGGCCGGCATCATTATCTGATCTGTACACATACGGTTTCTTCCTGGTTAGCAATTCTATAAGGAGAACGCCGAAACTGAAAACATCGCTCTTGTCTGTTAGTCGACCTGTGTAATAGTACATGGGGTCTAAATAACCAAGTGTTCCTTGAACAGCTGTCATCACTGCCGTTTGATCAATTGGGATGTACCTTGAGGCTCCAAAATCTGACACCTTTGCTATTAAGCTCTCATCCAGAAGTATGTTGGAGGACTTGATATCTCTATGAAATATGGGCATTGAAGTAGCCGAGTGCAGATAGGCTAGAGCTCTAGCAATCTCAAGTGCAATCCTTAAACGATCATCCCATGATAGTGATTTTGGTCCTTCAACATGAAGATGGTGGTATAGGGTTCCATTTGAAATGAACTCATAAACCAATAGAGGCACTTCTGTCTCAAGGCAGCATCCCAGGAGCTTCACCACATTTCTATGGTTGATTTGAGAAAGAATAGCAACCTCATTGATGAATTCATCGATTTCCCTTTGTACTACAATCTTTGATTTCTTGATGGCAACAACATGTAGGTCTAGAATTCCTTTATACACGACACCATGTCCGCCGCCACCAACCTCACGAGACTTGTCAAAATTGTTTGTGGCCTTCTCTATATCCCCCAAGGTAAACATCATCCTTTCACCAATATCTGCCTTTTGTGATATTAACTGCTGCAATAGCAACCCATGATTTTGGTTGAATAACTTTTCTCTCATTTTCTTCACCTTCCTTAGCTTCACCATACGTGTAACAAATGGAGCACTAAGTGCCAGAAGCAAAATTGAGACACCGCTGATTACTATGCCTATGATTAAACCTGAAAAGTATGAAAATAACATTACGTAACTTGATGGTACAAACAGCTATACAATTTATCAATTTTCTATTTTCTCTGCAGTGTATGATGAGATTTCATAAGCTCCAAACTTCCAAAAGTTGTAGGGGGCAATATCAAAATAAATAGCAGAGTGGAAGTGGGTTGCCATTGCCAAATGACTAGTTCATTAGTCATTAGTGAATAGCCATGATAGGTTTCAGTCTTGCCAACTATGAACATCAAGATTGAACATCTTAAAGATAGTTGGGGTGGATGTAAGATTGCAACAGAAACAACAGTAGTAGAATGTAAGAAAAAAAATAAGGGAATATAACTTTTTCTTCTCACACATGTGTCCGCATCTGCCATCTTGACAAAAATGGTTTGAGGTAACATTCCAGCGATGTAGTTAGATAATATATTTGGAATGGATCATACTTATTAATTGACATTGATTAATCAGTGAACGGTTACCAATCTGTACCAACAGAATGTTACTAGCAATATGATTGTGCATACAAATACAAGATTATACAAAATCATAGTACAGGTAATCAATGCTATATAGCGGTTGTCACCTGCAGAGTAATTTGTGATCTTGATACACCCCCCTTCTATAGAGGGGTTCCCATATGTCCCATCAGGGCAGCGGCAGTAAAACGTTCCAGGCGTATTTTCGCAAATTCCATGGCATGAGTGGGCTTCCTTATGAACACATTCATCAATATCTAGTGAAATCACAAAACAGAACAAAAGATAAATAAACTATTATGATGGAAAGGAAGTCAAAATAATTACTCACCAGTGGGACTGTATTTGCTATTGTAGAAACTGTAAAACCAACTACACCAGTAAAATATTCAAATATACAACACACGTGCATAGCTACTGAGTTTAAGTTGTAGTCCCCCTAATTTATATCTTAACTTGTATGACAAGGGAATAAAGCTAAATTTATTTAACTTGTACCTTGGCATCCGTCCAGGATGTAAGGGTTTCCACGATAACCGGCAGAGCAGCGGCACTGGTAGCCATTGTAGACATAGCTTGTGTAGTTTTGACAAAAGCTGTTGCTGCTGCGGCATCCAGGAGCAACAGAGTTTTGCTTTTGGCATGATGAATTGCTGATCACCCAGTCTAGCAAGGCAGGAAGTGCCACACCGCGAGGTTCAGACATGAGTTTTGAGATGTTATAGGACCCCTCCTCGGCTATATATACTGACGATTTAGCATCGGAGCTCGAGTCATTGGAAGGCTGGAGCTGGATGTGGTAGGAAGTGTAACCTTTTGGGATGCCTCCATTACAGCAGCCAAGGCCCGAGCATTCACCATGCAGAAGTAGATACCGGATAAGCTGAGGCTGTGCGTCTGAGTTCCCCAAGGATGGGCAGTAAGTGGCGCAGGCATTGATGGTGGAGTTGTCCTCTCCCATGAGGATGACTTGGATGTTGTTGCACGACAACACAAGGAACTTGTTCCTATCTGGCGCAACAAAGAACGGTCCTCTCTCTCTGAGGCCACCCCATGTGTGGTACCTGCTTGTGTTGGGCCTGGATGCACCGTCAATATCATGACTCATTGGCATGATATTGGTGCTGTTGATGCGAACCGTGCCGTTGGGGATGGAGATCTCGAGCACTTCGACAGTGCCATCGCCAAGGAAAAGTTTGGGAGGGCGGTACAAGTAGTCACAGGTGAGATTAAAGCCCTCATGGTAGCAATCAGGCTCGATGCCGAATGGATAGGGGATGCTGATGTTACCACAACTTGTACTGCATCCTGCTGCTGTCACCACTGCACTTAGTAGCTCCAGCAGCACCGCGGCAACCACAGCTGGGAAGGGCATTTGCCTACTTGCTACTCTCTCCATGTTGCTAGCTAATCTCCACAAGCAAATGCAGTTCTCTCATCTCCAAATGAAGCACTACATCACTTTATATCTCAACTGGCTGCAAAGAACTCTTTAATCACTCAGCACTGCACAGGGCTTTACTGGTACTGCTCAATTTTTGTATTGTAATCCACCTAACGACCCAATAAAATAGTAGCAAAGATAATATTAAGAGAGATCTTGTGCATCATGCGGGGCACTCGCAGCCCAAAGCAGGGCAGGGTTCCCATGTGTGGCCGTGTGGGGTTTGTCGACATTTTCCTATCTATATAAAAAAACGTCTTACATTATGGGACGGAGGGAGTAGCAATTAAGCTATAGATTTTTTTTTAGACGCGTGATGAAGAAGCCGGTCATCCTTTGGCAATATCACAAGAAAACTCCCACAATTCAGGAGTGTACCAATTTAGTTTGCTTTGGATATAGACCAGTAAATGTCCTCTCACAACATGTGATGCTTAATCTATTCATCAACTAGAACAGTCAGATGACTATCTCAGTAAATGATATTACTATCAGCTATATCACACTCATCGATGTGTATACAAGCCGCAATTAGGGGCAAAAATAACGGAACTTGATTCGAGTAGAGAATTCATAGATGCTGGTGAACGAAATTACCTTAGCATGGAGGTGGATGTTTACTTGAGCCTGTCTGGCGTAGTACTAGCTCACAAAATGGTGGATGGCAGAGGCCAGATCCGCATCTGCCCTTCCACGGCGAGCTGCCTGTGGCAGGCTTAGCTCCTCCGCGTATCCGACCATGGCCTGCGCCGAGCGCGACCAACCTCCGCCCGATGTGACCGCGAGAAGCGTTGGTCCCATCCATCCCGGGGTCGCCTCCTCCGGCTCCTCGGCCCTCGTCTAACAATCGATCCCTTCCCCTCCATTTCGCCCACTACCGTACACACGACGGTGGCCACATTCCGCGGCCGCCGGCCTTCTGCCTTCTCGACGAATTCCCGCCGAGCGGCACCGGGCGCCATTAGAGCATCTCCAAGACTCCAACAAGACGCGCAACGCCCGCCGCGCTAAATTATTTTTGCAGCGTCCAAATAGCTTTTCTTATGCGCCTCGGTGATTAGCTGCAGCGGAGGTCCTGCGCCTGCCGAAGCATCCGCGCGTACAAGAAATTCATTTGTGAACGTGGCCTATCCGAACGATGCTGTAGCTATGAAGGAAAAAAGAGCTCACTAGGGAATTGAACCCACGACCTGCTGGTGCGCTACCGCCAGGGCTATGCTTGTTTTGGTGTATCTAATTTAGGTTAGTTCAATTTTATACTCTATTTGTGAGCGGGGAAAAGAGAGGGGTAGACCCATATGGACGTGCTAATTTTTGGAAGGATTGATGCATTATGTTTGTACCTGTTGATGAGTAATTCTAGAGAAATGATTTTTTTCTTCATGTAGAATTCGAATTCCGATAGTGTCAAGAAACGTCTTACATTATGGAACGGAGGGAGTACAACGTAAATAACATGGTAATGTAGACTCCTGGACATGATAACTTAAGTACAAACACTACGATAACTTTGATCCGTGATTTTTTTGTTGTTGAAAACATACTCTGATAACTTTTTATGTAAATATCATGATAATATAGGCTCTCAGTCTTGATAACTTAGGTACAAACAACACGATAACTTTGACCCATGTTTATTTTAAGACATACCATTGATATTTTTTTTCATGTAAATAACATGATAATATATGCTCCCGAAAATGATAACTTAGATACAAACACCACAATAACTTTGACCCATGTAAAAAAATTGTTTGGAAACATACTTCGGTAACATTTGTATAAATACATGGTAATATATGATCCCAGACCTAATAACTTAGGTGCAAACACCATGATAATTTTGACCCGTGAAAAAAATTGTTGAAAACATACTCATAACTTTTTAGGGCAAATAACATGATAATATAAGCTCTTGGTCCTGATAACTTACGTACAAACATCATGATAACTGTGAATATCATGGTAGAACCACTGCATCCCCGATATTTAGGTGAACCGCAGGGGGGGGTACTTTGTGTGCAAATAGCACGGTATTGTACACACAGTAAAGTTGATAACTCACTACATCCACGATAACTTTTGACCCCGGGATAAAAGTTTGTTGAAAACATGCCCTGATAACTTGTGTGTAAATAACATGGTAATATACATACAACAGAGCTGATAACTTACCTAATCTAGACATGGTAACTTTTTAACCAAGGAAAAATTTTGATAAAAAATACCTCCCAATAACTCATGTGTAAACAACATGATAATACACGCACATGAGAGCTGATAACTCATATACAAATATCGCGGTGATTTTTTGACCGATGAAATGAAAACTGTTGAAAAACATATCCCGATAACTTTTGTGTAACATGGTAATATACACAACAAAGCTGATAACTCACTGAAAACATCATAATCACTTTTTAACCCTGGGATAAAAGTTTATTGAAAACATACCCCGGAAACTTTTGTGTAAATGGCACGGTAACTTATGTATGACATACGTGATAACTTACGTAGTCCAACTGTGGTAACTTTTGGTCTGATTTTTTTTTATTAAAACATACCAACATGGGATCTAGTTTCAAAGATCTCGTCGAGACGATTTTTTTTTGTGAAGACGGTTTTTTAAACAGAGTGACGGTTTGAGCTACAAAACATTTTGAAGTTTGAAAAAAGAAAGAATTTGGGATGACATCAGCTTTTCGTCTTCTAGTGCATATATGTATGTAATTAGATAGAGGAGTGCACGTGAAAGGAAAATTAGTCATTCTAATGCATGAATGTATATAATTAAAGTGAAGTAAGGATCATTCTTGCCTATTATTAAAATCCGAACGTTTGGTAGTTATAAGAGTCATATAAATAAAGCTATAAGGCAGGTAGCAAAAGCACAGATGTTCAGGACACCACAATCGGCAATATCTCATCCAGGGTCACACGCAAGAGAGTTAAAAAGGGTACATGGCTCCTTAGCCAGTACAAGGCACGCAGGTCGGAAAGTTTACTGTTCAAAAGACTAGCCAAATTAGGCACACACCAGCTAAGCATCCTGCTCTTGTATGCAACGATTAGACGCCGAAGCCTGAATTTTGGAGATTAGCTCAGACAACGCATCTTAGTCGTCCACCTTAGTCAATGATTTCCACTGCTGCAAGAGAGCATACGATTTAAATAAGCAATCAACAGGTTTAGCCGGAAACACATGCTCAATAGTAAATTTGTTCCTAATCGTCCAGAGAGACCAACAGAATGCCCCAGGCCCACCCAAAAGATGCGTCTGGTAACGCCCGACAAATTACTAACACGGGTACGGAGCTCTAAGAAAGAAACAGGATCCCAGGCAACATGAAGCCAATCTCTGACGCAGCTCCAAATAAGCTTGGCCAGGACACAATGGAAGAAGATATGAGTCGTATCCTCTATGTCACCACACAAGGCACAGAACTGAGACCCCGGACCATTTCTCTTACGAATTTGGTCCGTCGAAGGCAGCCAGCCCCTGAAGGTTTGCCATAAGAAAATTTTCACTTTAGGGGGGATCCTAGCCTTCCAGATCTGAGAGAATTTGTTAGTAGGGGTGCCACCAATAAGCTTAGAATAAAGAGATTTAACGGAGAAGCGGCCAGAGGCAGTGTGCGGCCAAATCATCAAATCCATATCCGTCGAGAGCGTGGGGAAGAAGGCAGTAAGACATTGCCAATCTTCGAACTCTTCAGGCGAAAGGGAACGACGAAAGGCTAGATCCCACCCATTCGCTGCCACCTTCGCAATAGAAACCTCCAGATCAGGACAGTATGAGAATAAGGGCGGGAAGGTCACGGAGAGAGGTGAATCTCCACACCACCAATCAAGCCTAAATCTAATTGAGGAGCCATCCCCTACAACAAATTTAACGTGAGCCTGGAAAAAGGGCCTCACTTTCATCAAGGCCTTCCAAAATTGAGAACCACCACGTGCAGTGGCAAACATCGGACTAGAGAGAGGAAAGTATTTAGCCTTAAGAATAGAGAACCAAAAGGACTGGACCCCACCACTCATAATTTTCCACCACCATTTAATCATAAGGCATTGGTTCATGATCGAAGTGTTAATGATACCCAACCGAGACGTGTATTAATGGAGCAGATCTTCACGTAATACACGTGGGAGGGGCGGGCGCGCGGCGGCATGTCGACGGCGGGGAGAAAGCGCTGGAGGCTAGGAACAAGGTCGCGGCGGCGGCGGGGCACCAGAAGCGAGGAGAAGAAGGGAGAGAGAGGTGGCGGTTGGCGGACTCGCACACGCGGGTTTTATAGAGTGCGCCCGACGCCGCACGCCAAAACTGCTGCACGCGTTGCCGCTTTTTCGCGTGCGTGCAATTTTTTTTCCGCGCCGAATTTTTCCCGGCCTGCTGAAGCGCACCAAACCGGCCCGCGCACGCTAAAGGCACTTTTTTTCCGCACGCGTCATATCTAGCGCGTCTATTAGAGATGTTCTTAGCGTTGGGCAGCGCCACCGTCGCGTGGCGGCTATCACTTTCCCCCCTCCGACTCCTCGGTAATTTTTCTTTAAGAAAAAAATATGTTTTGTCCCTCGAGCTCACAAAAGTCCCAAAAACAACCCCGGAACCTAGCCCCGCGTCACCTCGAGGGCGACACGGGTGGCGGCAACCCTGGGGCAAAGTCCCTTGCGGTGGTTGGCAGCGGCAGGTGCTCTCATGCGCAGCCCCCCCATTCCACCCCACCCCTTGCGGAGCTCTCACTTGGCGCCGCTGCCTATCTGGCCCGACCTCGTCCCGGCGTCCTCCTCTCGAACAGCCGCCAGAGGTGCCCTGCCATGTGGTTCCCGGCCTTGGTTGCTGCTGTCATTTGCATTTTTTCACGAATACGCATAGCTTGCGTATTTTTTCATTAATAGAAGGAGAGCGAAGAGAGTTGCATGGGTTGGTGCATCTTGCAGCGTGTACGTGACATGGCATGTGTTAGATCATCTGAGCAGAAGAAAAAGGGGTTGCTTAGCACTGGCAACAAAAAAGAGGCTACATCTCGAGAAGTAGGTTAGTCATTGACGTGGTGCCGGCTTTGGCCATAACCGCGCCTCATCCTTGATCGAGCCAAGAGACTGATGATTGCTGGTCATCGAAGATGCATCCCTTGTGATGCCTCCAAATGGCCCGGGCCGTGAGCATTATGAGGAAGGATAGTCCTCGGCGGTGCATGGTGGGGACATGCTAGCGGGTAGATGACCATCAGTCGTAGAACGTCATTACCGGCCACGAAAGAGTGGTCGTGGATCGGCACCATGAGAGCACCTCATGCCACACCTGACAGGAGAAGGGGCAACCAACGAGAAGGTGTCGCATGTCTTCGAGAATCTGATCACATAGCACACACACCGCTCCTCATGGGGAAGGCCACATCGAGCAAGACAATCCACCATCCAGCAACGATTCTGTAGCACGAGCCAGGTGAATACCTTGATTCGTAAAGGAGTCCGTGATTGAGCTGTGAAAGAGTGCAAGGTAGCAAGATCTAGCGGTGTAGATACTAAAAGCAGTCCACCGCCATCGAAGGACATCTGGCTCGTCACTAAGTTGGATGGGTCGTGATGACCTGCAAGACACACAGAGTAGTGTAGCACCTTTGTGTAAGTGCCACAAATAATTATCGTCCCAACAAAGAGCGAAGAATAGTATTTACGAGCAACGTTTCCGTCACACACAAGTGGTCACAACTCTTATGTGATGCTTGTAATTCTGCATAAGATATTAGTGTTCCAAGAGGCAAGTAAACTAAATAATGAATATGATGAGATGTTTGCAGTGAGAATAACGACTTGGAAGTAAAGAGCATAAAGTAAAGACTAAAATTAAAAGTGTTTTCCTGCAGTAGAGAGATTAGGCGCGGAGAAACTTCGGATCATGGTATATCTCAAGTGTGCCAATTCATTGGTAGTCCCATCTACCTTGTATCATGAGTTTATTATCTGATTTGCTTGTTCTGTAGGCATATCACCCTAGGTTATGGAACTCCTCCTCACGAGATTATATTCCACACTATTGTCCTACTTCGATGTTGCCACAGCAGGGTCGTCTCCACAATTAAGGTTTTAAATCGGAACCATGCATTAAGTTTGATGGATCACTATTATTTCATATTGTCTTCGGTTCTCATAGATGTCTCCACCTGTCATGTCAGAGGTCGTAGATTCTCTAAATAATATGTGTTACATGTGTACGTCTTTAGATCATATTGTTTGTGCCCTTAAATTGGACAACGCACATAGCATTCACCATAGTATAACAACTTACTAGACAAATCAAGACTACGAACACGAATGACGACATATATGATAGGCACAAATGAATCTTACCATTCACCTACATCTCCCACGCCTAGAAGGAATTACTCACACATCGAAAGAGAATAACTAATCACCATAGATAATAAATCCATGAAAACCATATCGATGATGAGTATAAATAGAGTTATACACCCTGATCTTACAACTTGGGATTCCTCTTACCATGATGATGATGAGATGAAATGAGTATGAAGATGGATGAACAAAACTAGAAGAATCTCCAGTGGTTCTTCTTCTCCGAATCTCTTCTCTCTGTGTTCTGGATGGTGTGTGGCGGCTGAAAGATCGTTGATGTCGCCTAGAGGGGACTGAATAGGCGCTTTAAAGTAATTATGGTTTAGATTTGAACAAATTTGGAATGAAACTAGCGTTTAATTTCACAAGCACAAAACATAAATCAACTAGGCTCACCAATATGCACCAACAACTTATGCTAAGCAAGATAAACAACTAAGTGATAGCAAGATATATAACACGAAACACTATGGCTATCACAAAGTAAAATGCATAAGTAAAGGACTCGGGTAAAATATAGCTGAGGCACGCGGAGACGACAATGTATCCCGAAGTTCACACCCTTGCGGATGCTGATCTCCGTTTGAAGCAATGTGGAGGCGCAATGCTCCCCAAAATGCCACTAGGGCCACTGTAATTTTCTCACGCCCTCGCACAATGCAAGATGCCGTGATTACACTAAAGGAACCTTGAGGGCGGTCACCGAACTCGCACAATTGGCAGCACTTGGGGGTTGTCACGGAACCCGTTCAATTGGTAAGCCTTGGGGGCAGTCACCGAACCCATACAAATTGCACGGGGCAATCTTCACAACTTAATTGGAGACCCGGACGTTTAGCCAGAGCTTTACACCACGATGATTGAGTTCCGCGACACCACCAACCATCTAGGGCGCCCAAGCACCTAAGAGGAACAAGCTCTAGGGTACCAAGCACCCAAGAGCAATAAGCTAGTCAAACTTCACTTTCACGTATCACCGCGGATGACTCAAACCTATGCACCAAATGGAATGGCAAGGGCACACGGAGTGTCCAAGTCCTTCTCTTCCAAATCCCACTACAACTAATGCTATAGAGGAAATTAGAGAAAGAACACAAGGAGAACACAAAGAACTCCAAGATCTAGATCAGAAGGGTTTCCCTCACTTAGAGGAGAAAATGACTGGTGGAAGAATAGATCTAGATCTTCTCTCTCTTTTCCCTTAAGAAGAACCAAGAATCATTGGAGGGATTGAAAGATAGCAAGCTTAAAGAAGGTCAACAATGGAGAAAAACATGAGCTCTGAAGATAAGAACCATTGAGGAAGAAGACCACCTTTTATAGGGAGAGACGAATCCTACCATTATGCTCGGACCGCAGTAAAGCGGTACTACCGCTACTACCGCTTCAAGCGGCAGTTCCAACTGTGGCTAGCGAGCACGTTCAGTGCTATAGCGGTAAGCGGCACTACCGCCCACCCTTCAGCGGTACTACTGCTTCGGGTCACGTAGCACAGTGAAATCACAATACAGAGGTGGCGCCAGAGCGGAAGTACCGCACGGAGCGGAAGCAAAACAAACTGTGCATCTGTTCTACACCTCTATGTGTTATACGATTGCATCAATTGCACAACAAATGCAAATGTAAATTCAGCTGTAAGAACTACTCCGTTCCTAAATATTTGTCTTTCTAGACATTTCAAATGACTACTACATACGGATGTATGTAGACATATTTTAGAGTGTAGATTCACTCATTTTGCTCCGTATGTAGTCACTTGTTGAAATACCTAGAAAGACAAGTATTTAGGAACGGAGGGTACATAAAGTACAAGTGTATTTCCAGAGGACCAGATATAAACACACGTGCCGGAGCGTATACCTGCGCCGTTACTCGAGATATTTTGATAATTACATAAAGCGGAACTACCACAGCTCTCACAGCAGAACTTTATGATGAATTTCAGAAGCACACAGAGAGACCACATAATCTAATGAAGAATGTCCTCAAGATCATCGCTGCAAGCTCGCTGAAAACAACATCGCCTCCTCCATGCTATATCGCCTGCTGTTACTGTGACCCTCCTTATCAGCATTGTCTCTGCTTCTTTCAAATGTTCTGTGACGTAGTTTAACCGGAACTTCTTCCATTTCTGGGTCGGCCTTCACGGTGTTCTCCAAACTCTGCAGCCCCTGGAGTTTCGTTTCCACGTACCGCATGGTCGGCCTGTCTTCCCCCTTCATCCCCAAGCACATTGCTGCGATTGCCGCTACTTCCTTGGCTTCGTCCCCAGCCTCCTGGGAAACCTGTGAATCTAGTACTTCCTCTGTAAACTAATATAAGAGCGTTTAGATCACTATTTTAGTATTCTAAACGCTCTTATATTAGTTTACAGAGGGAGTATTTCACTCAGTCTATCTTGGTTCAACAGCAACATGAAGTGTGCTACTAGACTGACGCCTTCTGATGGCACGTAGCCGGTTGGTTTTTTTCTTGTAAGTAGTTCCACAAGCATGACATCGAAGCTGTAAACATCGCTCTTCTCCGTCAGTCGGCCTGTGTAGTAGTACTCAGGATCCAGATATCCATAAGTTCCTTGGATGGCAGTTGTTACCCCTGATTGGTCGATTGCAATACCTCTAGAAGCGCCAAAGTCTGACACTTTTGCCGTCAAGCGATCATCTAGCAGTATGTTAGATGTCTTGATGTCCCTGTGGATTATTGATATCAAAGCAGCCGAGTGAAGATAGGCCAAAGAACTTGCAACTTCAAATGCAATTCGTAATCTGTCTTTCCATGATAGTGATTGAGGACCATCAGTATGAAGATGGGCATAGAGGGTACCATTCGAAATGAACTCGTAGATTAGCAATGGAACTTCTGTCTCGAGACAGCAACCAAACAGCTTTACCACATTCCTGTGATTGATTTGAGAAAGGATGGCAACTTCATTTATGAACTCGTCGATCTCTCTTTTGATTACGGTTTTGGACTTCTTTATAGCAACGACATGTTGGTCTGATAAAATGCCTTTGTACACTGTGCCGTGCCCTCCACCACCGAGAATGCGAGCTTCATCAAATTTATTCGTTGCTGTCTCAAGCTCTTCTAAGCTGAAAATCATCCTTTCAGCTATATCTGTGTCTACTAACTGCTGGAGCAATAACCCACGGTTTTGCTTGAAGAAATATTCCTTCATCCTTTTTGCTTTCTGATCCTTGACCTTTTTTATTGCAAAGGCGACAGCAAGAACTAGAAGCAAAATAATTATGCCGCTGCCAACTCCTATGGAGAAAATTATTCCTGTCGAAATTTACAGACAACACCGTCAAAAAGCCTGCTTGAAATTATATATCCTAATTTAATTGCTGCCCTCTCTCGCCTCCCGGGTCGCTCTCGCGACTCCGGAGGCCCCCGCCGCCGCCAACAACAGGGAGCGACCGTGCTGCCCATTCCCTTCTCGCCGTCTCCGGAGGAAGCCTAAGGGCAAAGCCCAGCGGCTGACGGCGGCGGCGAGGACGCACGCAGCCCGCGGCTGCGACCACCCTCCCCGGTCCATCTTCACTTGCCAGATCCAGATCCATCTCGTCCTCAGCTCTCCGGGGCCGTCGGCGTCCTCCTCCGGCCAGTTCCGGCCGGTGCTCGCGCCCTCGAACTGCGCCGCCATCCTCCGCGTCGACCCTCCTCTGCTGGCGCTAGGTGGGCGGGCGGCCTGGCCCCTGGCGCCGGCGGCGCCCGCGGCTGCGTTTCGGCCTCCTGGCCGTCCGTTCTCGGCTGGCCGGCGACGGATCCGGAGGTTCCGGGCGCGGATCCGGCTCTCCCTCGGCTCGCAGCTCCCATTGCTCCCCTCGCCACCCCCATCCTCTCCGGCGGATGATGCACCCCGCTCCACCTCGCCTCGATCCCCACCCCGTACTGCGCCTCCACCCCACTCGCCCTTCCCGTCCCTGCCACCGCCAGTCTCTGGCCGGAAGAACCTCCACTCTGGTGCCCCCGCCCTCTGTCCACCTCCGACGCCGCCCCACCTCGTCTCCACCCTCCTCACCGGCGGCCTGCTCCACTCGTCCTTCCTCGGTTCACCATCCACCTCATATGTCCGTCTCGGTCCTGTCCTCTGTCGCCCTTCGACTCCACTTGGATGGCGGCCCACCATTGACGGATGTGCTACGGGAGAAATCCCCGCTGACTTTGTCAGCTGACCACGGCGACGCTACTCCAGCGTCGCTTACCCTCTTGGGGGCGTGGCTCATGTGCCACTCCTGTCTCTCGGTCCGGATTCGCAGCTCTAGGCTCTGCCCTCTGGGAATTTAACCGGTTATGCTCCAGGCGAAAGCTCTGTGACGGCGTCATCCTCGGATGTCGTCCACCTTCTTGAAGGCGTCACTAGGGAGCTCCTTGCCGCCATTCATCCTCCGTTGCCCTTGGGGGTTGGTCATCCTCTGCTATGCTAGCTCAAGACCCTCTCATGCCTGTCGTCCGTTTTGGTGAGCTTCGTGCTCTTCGTGCTATCTCGGTTCATCTTTGCTCAACAACGACGCAACGATGCCTCCCCACCTTGCTAATCGTGTCGGCCTGCTGTGGCGGAGTTTCCAGTTAAGGTTCGTGATGGGTCACTCGTTGATTGGTGCTGCTCCTCTGTTGTGCCAAGGGGTTGGTACGCACGCAAGTGTGGTGCGTTAGGATAGTTGTTTAGTGTTGGTATTGTGTTTCCTCCATGACACACCAATTCCACTCGACTTTTATGGTGGTGGTCTCTTGGCTTGCTGGCTAGGTAGTGCCTTCTTCAGGGCGTCCATATGCTCTCACCCTATGTAATCTTTCCCCCCTATGTGGTTTTTCGGCCCGGTTTCCCTTATAAACGGGGTCAACCTGTTAAGGTTTTCGATCCGGTTTTCCTTATAAACTGGATCAAACACTTGGCATTTTGGCCACTTTGAGCAATATATTCAGGTGGGGAATCTCTCCCCCCGGTGACCGTTCAAAAAAAAAATTGTGTGAAAAAGTGCCGGTGTTACTTAAATTTGAGGACATAGTAATGTTTTATGTGGACAGAAAGATGAACTAATGCTTCGACTTACCAGCTGCTAGACGACCTCGCCCTCCTTGGCATCCATTTGTCATGTATGGATTGCCCTGGTAGCCATCACTGCACCGGCAGACATAGCCTTCGGCGCCATTTGTGGAGTTGAGGCACACACTGTTCTTGCTGCGGCACCCAAAATCTGGCCTCCGGGCGGCCTCTTCGCAGGATAACTCGCCCAACCCCCAGGCTGCAATGGCAGGAACGAAGAACGGGCTCATGTCAGGGTAAGACAGGAGGTCCATGAAGTATTGCTGAAGACCATAGACGTGTGACCCGTCACTCCACCACTCCTGCTCCACCATATGCACGCTCGCGTTGAACGCTGGAGCCGGGGCTGGGGACGGGGACGGCGCGGTCGGGCACCTGCCAGCACCGTCGAGCGAGGAGAGCTCGATACGGCAGGACCGAAGGCCAATCGGAATGGACGGCTGGCAGCAGCCGATGCCGTTGCACACGACATCGGGCAAGAACGGCTCGCCGGTGCTGTTATTGATCGGACAGAAGGACGCGCAGGAGCCATATGTCCACCCGTCAACGATGTGCAGGAGGACACGGAAGCCACACCCCATGATGACGAGGCTGTTCGCCTTGGCCGACAGCACGAAGGGGGAGCCGCGGCTGAAGGCCAGCTGCACGTGGCTCGTGTTGCCGGCGACGAAGTGTGAAACCCAGCTCCCGACACGCACCGTGCTGTTCGCCAGAGATATCTCGACAACCTCAGGGCCAGGACCGGGACTGGCACCATTGTCCAGGAACAGCTTCGGTGGGCTGTGCGTCTCATTGCAGGTGACCATGAAGCCAGGCCGGTAGCAGACGGGGGTGGTGCCGAAGGGGTAGGGGATGTCCACATCGCCGCATTTGCTCTTGCAGCCGGGCAAAGCGATGTTCACGGAACTTGCTGCTGCCGCCAGTGTTATGCTGCCCCTCAGCAGCAACAGCAGCAGCAACATCGCTGCGCCAACTAGAGCAGGCATTCTCATTTCGTTGATCACATGAATGAAGCACAAGTTTCTGAATGTATCTGTATTGGAGAAGGTAACTAGGAATTTGCTGCTGTTCACCAAAGTTACCCTGCAGCAAGAATTTATCTGTTCTGGACAACATTTGTGGGAAACTGGAAAAGTGATGACCATGGCAACAGATTTATTAGTATTTTTAGATACTGAACTCCATCACATGCCTAGAAGAACTGAAGAATTAGTCTACCTTTGCAGATTACTTGACCTCCCAGGCATGACAAAACATTTTTTTACAAGGAGACTTGTTCACACACACCTAGATAAGTATTGCTCGCAGTTTTCTAGAGAATATAATTACTGCTCTAAGGGATGTTCCCGATGGTATGGACGTGTGATCTGGTTACTTTTGCTTGGACGAAAAGGCATTTTGGTCATACCTTGATGGCTTGACCATATCAGAATACAGAACCAGTCCATTATACACCATCAGAACCGAGTGTGACTAGTGCTATTTTCTATTGTACTATTTTACAAGTACTACTCCCTCCGGTCCTTTTTACTCTGCACATTAGAATTCTTTGAAGTCAAACTTCACAAAGTTTGACCGTATTTATATGAAAAAATATTAACATTTGCCATGCTAAAGTTATATAATATGAAACTTTAAGTCATGACATATCTAGTGGTATTGATTTCAGGTTGTGAATGTTGACAACTTTTTCTGTAAAGTTGGTCAAACTTTACGAGGCTTGACTTCAGTCAAATCTTATATGCGAACTAAAAAGGACCGGAGGGAGTACTATATAGAACTTGTACAGATTGACGAAACAGAGTTAGCAAGAGTTTGACAAGGAAAGCTGGAAAGGTACCTCCTGGTGACATGCTTAAAAAATATCCTGAAAGCTTTGGATATATCTGAACAATTCAAAAAAAAATTGTTTATGGATCATGACATGCTAGTTATCTGCTAAATGAGAATAAGCATCAGTTAATAGATTTACCTTTCAGATCGGTTAAGGATTCTTTCAAAGGAAGCAAACTTTATCAAGAGCACCTGGGAAGTCAGACCAACATATTCCATGCCGTCTAATTTGGACACAAGCCTTCAGATCGCCATGAGAGCGAATTTTGTGTCGGAATAGCATTCTGTTCGTCCCACCTAGCATCAAGCATATATCTTGACTTTCCTTCTCTCTGATAAGCATAATTATCAATGCATTAGGTTCCATTATTTAAATTATCATCCTTCGCAGGAGCAGGCCAGCTTCTTTGATTATGCTCATCTGACAAGAAACAGTAATTATGTGTTGAAAGCCCTTAAATGCAACTGTCATTAGTTGCAGTATTGCAGAAAAACAAGAAGCTCAACTTCCCTCTAGTACTAACATTATTCATTTATATGGCAACTTGTAAAGCAGGTCGAATGCCATTGTGGTTTCAATGCATACTCAGTCAGCTTTGGAGTCTTGTTACATCAACCAAAATATTAAAAACTAGATGGTTGTTCTCCATCTTTTATCGGCCGGCCCGAGCCTTATAGTAATTCTAGCGATTCCTTGACTGCTTCATGAAGTCGGCATCAAGTAACTAGCCATGCGTATAAGCTATGTATAACTCCAATAATTGTGGTTGCTTTTTCTGTGCAGAGACAAATGGAAGATGATAGAGCCTCCTTATTTATCAGGCATTAGGACAACGGACTTGACAGGATTGCAGTTTCTTGTACATAGAAAAATGCAGGACGACAGGGACTCCTCATTGCCAGGCATTTGGACAATTGGACTTGGCAGATTTGAAGTTTCCATCCATTCTTGTTCATGTATGTAGAAGTAAAGGTCACTTATCACAGGGTGTCCACACATAAGGCTTTTTACCTATCCTGCAAGTGCCAAATGTCTTGTGAAGGTAAACTTGATGAAGAAAGATATCCTTAAATCAGTCAGTAAGAAAGAGAAAGGTAAGCAGGTATTAATCTTTTTATTTGTTACCGCCGTATGATAAGCTCTGTGTATTCTGCATATAAGTGACACATAACACAGAGAAGAGCTTGCACTTTCACACTACAATGGCTATATATACACACCAAAAAAGGGCTAGTTAGCACTTCCGTGTGGCTGAGCTGCATACAGCCGCATCACACAAATGAGTATGGCAGGTATAGCAGCCCTGCTACATCTTCTGCAGCTTCTAGCCACCGCGTTAGTGCTAGTCTCGGCCAACGCTGCATCGCCCAACTGCACAAGCAGATGCGGCAATATAAGTATACCTTGCCCATTCGGCGTCAATGCCGGGTGCCACCGTGAGGGCTTCAAGCTTGCCTGCAACGAGACATATCATCCCCCAAAGCTCTTCATGAACAGTTCCGGAGTCGAAGTGCTTGAAATATCAGCGCAAGACAGCACACTGTGCATTGACAGTGGGATCCTCACCTTGGAGGGGGATGAGTGGCTCGACGGTTTCATCCATATGAACTGGTCAGTCCCCCTCGACAACAGCCTATATAGGGTGTTAGGAAGCAGAATGAAATCGTTGTTATGGGGTGTGGAATCACTGTGTATCTTCAATGGCATCCTCCTCGCGGAGAACCTGCAGACACCACTTGTTCTCCAGAATGCATGCCGGATCATCCTGTGATAGCAACTGATGGCACATGTTCTAGCAGTGGTTGTTGCAGTGCAAACAACAAGCAGTTTGACTCAAATATGTTTCAACTCATGTCTTGCTTTGGTGGAGAGCAACTGGAGGAGCAAGAAGAATAATGTCATGGTGCTGCAGAAGGCGGTATCATTTGAGACCAGCCTTGGTGCCTCTAAAGGCGTACTACACACCACACCAGGAGTACCAATTAGAACGGCTGTCAGTTGGGTGTTCAGTAACATGTCATGTGCTGAGGCTAGCAATTCAAGTGACTTTGGATGCCTCAGTGACAACAGTGAGTGCCTTGAGTACCTTAAACCCGATGATTCAAGAGGAGGTCACACAAGCCAGTGTTGGCATGGCTACGAAGGCAACCCCTACGTGCAACACGGATGCCAAGGTATGCAACTAGACTCCCTGAATAATTAGTACCATTACTTCGGTAGTGCACAAAGCCGCAAACTACTTAGCTTCTTTACTACTGCAGATATTGACGAGTGTACAAGTCAAGGTGAGTACTCCTGCTTTGGCCAGTGCATCAACTTGATAGGGTCATATACCTGTACCTGTCCCCATGGCACCACTGGTAACCCCCCAAAACAAAATGGATGCTCTTCAACCAAATCAAAAAATTCAGGTAATGAGCAAGCTTGCAAAATACTCCATACTGATCTTTGTTGATAACATAGTAAGATAGGTAAATATTATTGTATTGTCAATATTCATGACTGTTTATACATTTGTTTATTTATTCAAAATCTAGACCCAAGCCAATTGATTATGTATTCTCCAGGATTTGCCATTGTGGTAGGAATCGGCAGTAGTGTAGGCACTCTTACAATTATCCTCAGGGCTTGTTCGTTTAATCCTTTCCCCGAGGGGATTGGAGAGGTTTGAAAGGGATTGGTGAGGAATTTGATTTACAGGGGATTTAATCCATCACAATCCCTTTTAACCCCCCTCAAACCCAATGCAACCGAACAAGGCCTCAGTGTTCTGATTGTAAGACAAAAGCTCATAGTTTGGAAAGCAAGGAAGTCAAGAGATTTTTTCTTCAAAAAGAACAGAGGGTTGTTGCTACAGCAGCTTGTGGACAAGGATATCGCTGAAAGGATGATGTTCAGCTTAGAAGAGCTTGAGAAGGCAACAAATAAGTTTGACGAGGCTCGAGAACTTGGAGGTGGAGGCCACGGCATTGTCTACAAAGGGATTTTATCTGACAAACGTGTTGTTGCCATCAAGAAGTCAAAAGTTGAAATTCAGAGAGAAACATATGATTTCATCAATGAGGTTGCCATCCTTTCTCAAGTGAACCACAGGAATGTAGGGAAGCTTTTTGGATGTTGCCTTCAGACAGAAGTTCCATCGTTGGTCTACGAATTCATTTCAAATGGAACTCTTTCTGATCATCTTCATGTCAGCACTCCACTATCAGTGCCTTGGAAAGATTGGCAAAGAATAGCCCTTGAAACCTCAAGATGCCTTGCTTATCTGCACTCAGCTGCTTATTCATCTTGCGAGTTAACCAAGACAGACTCTTTGAGATGCTAGACCAGCAAGTCATCGAGGAAGGGGCTGAAGAAGCCAAAGAAGTTGCAGCAGTAACACTCATGTGCTTAAGTTTAAAGGGTGAATATAGGCCAACAATGAGGCAAGTTGAGACAAAACTTGAAGTAATGCAAACTGTGGAAAACAATACACCAATGGAACAGAACAATGCCAATGCTGATGATGACAACTTCAGTAGGCGATATAGTATGGAGGAAGAATGCATGTCATCTATGAGTTTGCCTCAGTAACCTGATTGATATCCCCTTCATTGGTTTCAATTAATGAAACTGGTGCCCCTTCCTGCCTCAGTAAAAGTTGCTATCAAAAATAAAAGAACTCTTTTTTTTCTTACTTGGTTTCAGTAAATTGTCACATCCTTTTTAAATATGCTTATAGACAGGTTTCAGTAATCGACAATTATTTTTAGTTTGCACATAACAAGATTTCGACTATATTCAGAAGTAAATTTAATAAATAATAATAAACGACCACATGTATATATTTTCAGAAGGAGACCACATGCCTCAAGTTAGATGGCATCATCAGCCATATCTTTCACAATCCTTCCTAGGTGTAAACTAGCAAGAGATTTATCGTGTACCTGCCAAAATAGAAGAACAGTTAGTAACTAACCTATTCTGATATGTGTAAAAAGACTGCAGCAGTGTGCTGATAATGCCCATTGATTTTAGCCTTAATGCATTCATAGTTAGAATTCATATGGACACAGAAAAAGCAAGGGATATACATGACAAGGAAAAACCCACGGTCAAGATACAACATAATTGTGTCGTATCTTACCCTAAAAAAAATATGTGTCACATCACAGGTCCATGAAATGTTTCTCCATGAATAGCAAGTTGGCAACTCTAAACTGTGTTGATGGTGAACTCTGAAAAGGTTATGCCAGCTTTTGCTATAGTGCCAATACAACTTCGTGTCAAAGGAACATGACAATACAAGATATGGTGTAAACAACAAGAAGAGTTGCCTAAGTCAAAAAAAATTACAAGGGATGGTGTAAACAACAAGAGTGCTTGGTTTCTGAACAGAGTCATATTTTGAGTTTCTCGTAATCTTCCTAGATGACAATGGATATCCCCCAAACATATTGGGATTCCAACCTCCAACAGAGTCATACAACAGCAGGACTTCCATTTCGTAATATCCGTTGAAAAATATCACTTTCTTATATGCACTGCTAGCACATACAATGATACAATAAAGTCCAGACATAGTCTAGGCTACTATAATCCCTCAACCTCAATTGGCAGCAAGAAATGGTAAAAATGATAATTGAAGTAACAAGTGCTAGTTTTGAATATATTTTCTAGAACTCCCTACAAATACACCCAACAGCAAATAATCAACTCACCAGGCTTCTCTCGGCAGCTATTTAAATAATATAAATTGTTACCTACCAAAAGTTCCAAACTAAGGAACCGGTTTGTCTTGAACCCCTCACCGTATCCCTGTGATATCGATATGCCCAAAGTTTTATTACAGCCTAGTTTATGCATAACAACAATTTAATTCCTGAGGGGCATCCAATTAAAGCATGCACGCTTGTCCATAAATACATGTTGGTACGCACTACACAATAACACGGGGTGGACAAATTGATTCACTATCTCATCTCACCATCCTCTAGAGGTAATAATGTGCTTACAGTGCTGCTATTCTCGCCATCTCAAAGTGATCTGGTACCGAATGATGCCCAGCTGCCTGCAGAAGCAAGAGCTTCACGAATGCAGTGAATTAGGAACAGAAGTGAGACAGGTCACACTTGAAGAACTTCTGTACCCGCAACCAAGCTGGGGCATGGGGGCGATCGAAGGGACACCAGCTGGAAGGTACTCTCCGAAGGTCTGCCCACTGAACTCCGACTTCTCTTCCGAGGGCAACTCACCAATCATCAACGAGAGCATCTCCATCGGTGGAGTGTCTGTGAGAAGTCAAAATAGTGCCGCAAGGAGAGTTAGCTTTAGATCACCTCATGAATATGATGTATTTATCATTCCTGCAAAAGATTCAGATGATGATTCCAGTGATGGTGAACCACCCAGGATATGAACAGATGAGGGGTTGATGCGGAGGGGATTCATCATGGTACAGCCAGTTTCTAGCAAGATTGCTGCCCTCTGAAGGACTATGGCGAGAATTATTAGAAGGAAAATCTTGTGGAGTTTACAAGTGCTTGCTAATCCAGTTCTGTAGAGGACACTGGCACCATGTAACACGGTAACAGCACAAGAATTATGTAATTGCATACTTGAGGTTTACGAGGATATGCACTACCCAAAATTCAGAATTATTTTCTTTCTTAGCAGGAAAAGGCAAATTCATTCTAAAATTGCATCCTTGTGATAGTTCATCGAATGATGACGCCAACGAGTTATGCAAACTGTATCATGCGTAGGATTGACAGTGAAGAAATGACCCCGTCTGACAGCCGTAGCTATAGGGTGAAGAACACACTTGATAAAGCAATATTGTGTAGTACAGTACTAGCGAACGGGTGTTGGGTGTTCCTACAATTTTACTCGGATTTTCAAGCTATCTGTGGGCACGAGTGAATTTTTTGGAGATAGGATACCTTCATCTGCAGTCTGGCGGCTGGCGCGTAAGTGAATGCTTCCATCCCGGATCGGCGTTCAGTGGTGGCGCGGCTCCCCGTCGGGCTCACCCACCGCCGAGGGGTCCAGGGAAGAACCTCCGCTGCCGGCTATTCCTACGCCCCGCCGCCCTGGTTGTGGGTGCCGGAGCTGCTGGAGCATGCCGCGTGGGGGTGGTCGAGCTCGAGCGGACAGGGACGGCGGCGAGGGGAGGTTTCGCGCGTTCGTGCTCGGCGAGCAGGGCAAGACGACCCCTGGGCTGGGCCGAACAGGTGCTCTCGCAGGCCCACTAAGGGCAACTCCCGATCACGGCACGGCCCAGCCCATCCTAATCGGGCCTGGCACGGCACTGCCCGTCATGGCACGATTATTACCGGGCCGTGTCGCGTGCTGTGTCTTCCAGCCCAGGCATGGTCCAGGTGCTATACTGGGCGACACGGCGGCATGTCCAAAATCAATTAAGTACTCCTTTTTTTTTGACGCGACAATTAAGTACTCCTTGCAAGGTCACTCTCATCTTCCCAAAATGTGCAACACTTATCGCAATACGAGAGTTTTCCCATTTTTCGTATATTCATTTATTTAAAACTTTTCATCTCTCAAACCGTGTGTCCAAATCTCAAATCGTTTAACTGTTGGATTCCTCGCGTCGAGATTTTTAAAATTATATTTCATGTTGATATGTTTTGATAAACTTTTTTTTACCAAACAGGATGAAAAAACCGAACCAAAAGCATGCCTTTTCCCTTTCTAAGAAGCACGACCATGCCTCTCGCAGAAGCAAATCCGTGTCTCTTGCGAAAGCAAAAAAAAATGCATTTTTTCCTTTTTCTGAGAGGCACGACTGTGCCTCTCGCAAAAGCAAATTCATGCATTCATGAGAAGTAAATTTGTGCCTCTCATGATAGAAAAAAAGAAAAAACATGTTTTTTTCCTTTTGCGAGAGGCACAATCATGCCTCTCGCGGAAGCAAATCCATATCTCCACGAGAAGTAAATTCATGTCTCTCGTGAAAGAAAATCCATACGTTCACGAGAAGCAAATCCATGGCTCTCATGATAGGAAAAAAGATCGTGCCTCTCGCGAAAGCAAATCTGTGCCTTCACAAGAAGCAAATCAGTACATTTCACGGAAGGAAAAAAGAAAAGAAAACTCGTTCTTTTCCTTTTTGAGAGGCACGGTCGTGCCTCTCGTAGAATCAAATCCGTGCCTCTACGAGAAGTATATATATACCTCTCGCGGAAGGGGCAAAAAGAAAAAACGTTTTTTCATGTCAGAAAAAATTCAATTCTTTTAAGGCCCGAAACCAAAGAAAAAATGGAGCAAACCAAAAAGGCAAAAAAACGGAAAAAATCATCGAAAAGCTGAAAATGCGTACAAAAAAATAAAAAATAGCTAGAGGGAGCGCCCAGAGCACGACACGTGGCGGCAACTGAGAGGGCGTCAAGTTGCTCGCTCCCAGCTGTAGGATCAAAACTATGTTTAGATGGGGGGTGATTAGACTACTTGACCAAATAAAAGACTTCCTTTTTCCTAATTTTAGTTGTGGGCAGATTTTAGCAATCTTGACAATTCAAGTAACACCCTACACATGCAAGTCTAAGAGTATAGCAGCGAAATGTAAAAACATTGCATGTGTAAGTAAAGGGAAGGGTTTGGAGAAGGCAAACACAATGGAGACATGAAGATTTTTGGCGTGGTTCCGATAGGTGGTGTTATCGTACATCCACGTTGATGGAGACTTCAACCCACGAAAGGTAAAGGATGCGTGAGTCCAAGGAGGGCTCCACCCACGAAGACTTCACGAAGAAGCAACCTTGTCTATCCCACCATAGCCATCGTCCACGAAGGACTTGCCTCACTCGGGTAGATCTTCACGAAGTAGGCGATCTCCTTGCCCTTACAAACTTCTTGGTTCAACTCCACATCACGTCGGAGGCTCCCAAGCGACACCTAACCAATTTAGGAGACACCACCCTCCGAAAGGTAATAAATGGCGTGTTGATGATGAACTCCTTGCTCTTGTGCTTCAAATGATAATCTCTCCAACACTCAACTCTCTCTCACAGATTTGGCTATGGTGAAAGAAGAATTTGAGTGGAAAGCAACTTGGAGAAGGCCAGATCAAGGTTCAAATGGTAGGAATGGAAACTCTTAATCTCAACACGTGAGTAGGTGGTTCTCTCAGAAAATGAATGGTGAAAGTGTAGGCACGTTCTGATGGCTCTCCTCAATGAGGAAGAAGGGGTGGAAGGGTATATATAGCCTCCACACAAAATCCAACCCTTACACACTTTTGACCTATCCGGTGGCACCGATCAGAAAACTCGGTGGCACCGATCTGTGTAAAAATATGAACGTTAGGAATCTCGGTGGGACCGATGAGAACAACTCGGAGGGACCAATGTGCAAGGGCTTAGGCCAAACCTCGTCTCGGTGGCGCTGATTGCATCATCTCGGAGGGACTGAAGTGAAGCAGTAAGGCAAGAGAGAATCGGTCAAGCCATCTTGGTGGGACCGAAACAATTGCAACAAGCAACATAGAGTTGGTAAGGCCATCTCGGTGGGACCGAGATCCATATCGATGGATCTGAATTGTTAGGGTTTTGGCAGTGGCTAAGTCTAGATGAACTTGGTGGCTCCGGGTAGGAAATATCGGTGGAGCCGAGTTGGAATTTTAGGGTTTGGACATATTTGGATAGAGAAACTGGTTGATGGTTTTGGAGCAATATCACTGAGCACTTGAGCAAATAGATCATTAAGCAACACCTCATCCCCTTTTAATGTTATTGACTTTCTTATGGACTCAATGTGATGTTTGATCACTTAAACAAAAATCTAGAGCCTTAAGCTTTTGCCAATCCTTGTCCTTAGCATTTTCAGGGGTCCACAACTAAAAGTGCAATCATGCCCTTACATCAAGTTTTGATGTTGATGACAATATACATGTAAGGGACTAACTATGTTCGTCAAGTGAATCTCAGGTTTTAGTCCCCGTATGACAAAGGTGTGTAGATCATGAACATACGGAGTTGATATTACTCAAGGAAGAAATACTATATCAAAAGGATTGTATCTTTCTTTGTTCTTGGGTATAGGGATCCCACACTATTAAGAGGGGATCGGTAGGGGTAGTGAAGGACTTGCTCATGTCACAAAACCTAGCTTCTCCATCTTAGTCTCACTCACTAAAAACTACTGTTAAAATATTGCCTCTGCTCCCATGCTGGATATCTGCCCACACGCCAGATGTCCGGACCCCTGCTGTCCAGAGAGATTTTCTTGTGATGCTAATATTTCCGGATGTCCGGCCACACTACCGGATGTCCGGGCTCTCCTGCGTCTCCGGATGTCTGGGCTGGCCAGCCAGATGTCCGACCACTGCTGACCAGAGAGCACTTTGTGATGCTAATATTTCCGGATGTCTGGCCACACTGCCGGATGTCCGGGCTCTCCTGTGTCCCTCGATGTTCGGGCTGGCCTGCCGGATATCCAGCCACAACTAACCAGAGAGCATCGGTGTTGTGCGAAAAACCGCCAAATGTCTGGGATTACCAGCCACACCGGATGTCCGGGCTTTGCCCCGGGTGTCCGGCCTCTCTGTTTTATTCACTCCTCTCTATTTTATTGCACATGCATTACACTGTGCCGGATCCGGCCCCTGGCCCGGATGTCCGGCCTACTCCTGTCACTTACACTACAACAAACCACATTTGCTCCAATACTATATATAGCCTTCTACCTCCACGGGAGAGGGTTGACCATTCACTTTCAGCAATCCCTAGAACACATTTCACTCTCTCTCTCTCTCTCACTCATACACCAAATCTTAGATCCTGAAGGGATTTGAGAGCATTCGTGAGAAGTTTTCCAATCAAGTGATAGATCCACTCCTTCCCCTTCTTTACACCAAATTAATTCGTGATTTGAACAAGTCTTGAGTTTTTCCCCATCGTTCTTGTTACTCTTGGAGGTTGGAGACTCCTATGCAGTAGGAGTTCTTCGGAGAGGAATCGACCATTGTGATTACCCTCGAAAAGTTTGTGAGGGTTTGGAGACCACCCCAAGGTCTACCACTAGTGGTTGAGAATCTCCTTCGTGGTGATATCTCAAAGAGAGAATAGGGTGAGCCTTCGTGGCGTTGGTGTGCCTTCGTGGTAACACCCATCTCTCTAAACCGTGATGTAGCTTCCCTCCAAGGAAGTGAGCATCGGCATACATCCTCGTCTCTCAGAGTTGCGGTTATTCCTAACCCTAACTCCCTACTTGTGGTTACTTGTCTCTTAGTATTTACTTATCATATATTGTGCTTGTTCACT